AGTGATTTAATTTAATTTTTTTAGAAAAATGAAAAAAATAGTAACAGGACTGAAAGTAACAGGATTGAGTTTTCAAGCAAAAAGTTATCAAATACATGGCATATGGCCACATAGTACATGCTAATAGCATGAGGACACTGAGCCATTTCTAGTGCCTTTCCAAAAGTTAATATTTTTAAAATAAACAAATAAAATCTAAGAAAAAGTTTAGGTAACAGGACAGTATGTTGAGATTGACCTTCTCAGTCGTAGTTACAATTTCATCACATATACAGAAATTAAAATGAGAAGACTAACTTATGGTCTTCCCATTGCCTTCAGAAGATCCAGATGAACTTACTGTTGAAAATGGTCTTGTGGATTATTCCCAGTTTTTCAGAGGGGGTAATGTGTTAGGGTAACAGGACTGAGTGAAAACCCGGGGACATGACTAAAATGTGTATTTTATCTCAAATATTAGATAAAATGTCTTTTTCTTTTTTCATTTTAAAGCAGATTGGATATAAAGTCACACAACAATAAAAAAAAAAATCAGATTTCTGAAGGATTTGAATCATTATATTTCATTGTAAAGTTTAGAGATGGAGAGTGGGGACATGCAGAAAATGAAATTTTTTAGTGTTCTATGTAGTTTTTATCTAAGTTTTTAAATATACATGTTAAATTTGTAGGTAGCTTAATGTGCAGGACATTTTGCTTAATAATAAAATGTATTTTAGAGTTAATTTTCATGCAATTTTATACATATAATGTCCTGGGGACAGAAATGTCACCCTTTCGGTGGAATGGCTCTAATACTTTTATTCCGCAAGGACACATTTCACCATTGACAGTAAATACATTTATGATATTACTAAAGATTTCGATTTCAAATAAATTCTCGTGTTGAACTTTCTATTCAAAGAATTCTGAAAAAATCTATCACGGTTTCCACAAAGCACCACATCCGCATATTAGAATGATTTCTGAAGGATCATGTGACACTGAAGACTGGAGTAATGATGCTGAAAATTCAGCTTTACATCACAGGAATAAATTACATTTTAAAAGATATAAAAATAGAAAACATTGTAACAATTCTACATTGTAATAATAATATTTCACAATATAACAGTTTTTAGTGCATTTCTGATCAAATAAATCTAGCCTTGGTGAGTATAAGCGACTTCTTTCAAAAACATTTTTAAAAATCTTATCGACCACAAACTTTTGAATGGTACTGTATTGTTTTTTTATATTCATTATTTTCAAGTTTCCACTATCTAACATGCAGAACAGATTTATAGTTGTTCATTGCTAATCACTCATTTCACTACAACAATAAAACAAATAAATAGCAAAATAATACATTTTGAATCAATGATGTCACATAATGATGAATATTATCAAACTGGAGTGTCTCATGATATTCAAAAGAGTCTAGTATTTTGTGATGAGTGAAACCAAACCTGTGGTTTCAGGCGACATTCCCACAGCTCTAACTATTTTCCCTTTTCAATGCATTAAAATACTGGAACAGCCCATATTAGTTATGGCAAATGTGACAGATGACCAGTGAGATCATCCAGTGCCATTCATAAAGTGGATAATGGTCATGAAATCAATAGGTTGCCAACTTAAGGCCGTTAATCATAACCAGCCTGTGAAAAATCCATCTGACAAATGGCTCAAATAATATTGTTACCGAAGACTATGGAAAACCGATATGGAGTTTAGAATCATGCATTTATATTCATGTAAGATATGTTATAATTTAGCAACTGTATACAAATCATTTTCTTTCAGAAAACAATGTATGAAAATACATTTTATTTTATTTTATCCTAAATAATATTCTAGTGAAGCAGCACGTGATCATCTTGTCACCATTAAGAATCCCTAATGTCACGTACAAAAACAGGGGTGACTTTTCGACCGGGCAAATCCTACTAAAAACCCTGGCTGACAAGACAGAAGTCATCTATCTCTCCTCAGTGTTTTCAACCTCAGAGGGACGTTGATGAATGGGGCTTTGAACTTGCCTCTGGGCAGTGGAGCCTTCATCAATCTTTCTCCTCCTACAAACACACACAAGCACACCCACGCACGTGCATCAAGCATGCAAATACACAGATTATTCAAAACACAGAGACCTCAGAACTGGTTTAGGAGGATTTGCTTAGGATAAACTAACCATTTAAACAAGTCATTAGGTAACATTCCAAGGTCACTGTAAATCTTGCAAAACTGGCCTGCACCTGGTTGGTAAGGCATGTATGAGCTGTTTGGTTTTTTTGCAAGATTGAAACTGTACATCAGGGCCTCTTGTCACTATCAGGCATGAATATCAGGAGTTTTGTAATTCTCGGAGGCCTTCGCCCCCAGCGGATCCTGCCTCCCAAACCAGGCAGTGCACGGAGCCAGATAACAGCCAGGCCCGGGCAACCGGCAAGACAGCTTAATCCCAATGATGGCAGGCAGCAGTGACACACTGAACCTTTGAGGAACAGAACAAAACACATCAACCACGCAGCCCAAAAATATGATTATCCCGTGTTATCAACAGTGCCAGTGGGCACCACAATGTTGTGATACAGAGATACAGAAGCCCCTTGGCAAAATTAAACATCTCATGCAATTTAAATACAGAGGCCTAATAATGCACGTATGCTTGAAAACCACGGTAAATATTTATATTCTATAATAAGGGTGGGGAATTTGGGTTGTGACCGGTTTATGATTGGCCTTTGAAATGCTGGTATTAAGAAACTGAATTCAAACCTGCATTCAGTCATGCGTTAAGATTACAAAAGCAGCCCAACTTCAAGTGTTTTCTTTTTTAATAATATATATTATTTTATTATGCAATTTTATCCCTGTGATGGCAAATCTGAATTTTCAGCATCATCACTCCGGTCTTTGGTGTCACATGATCCTTCAAAAGTCATTAATACACTGATTTGGTGTTCAATTATCATCAATTATATTGGTGCTGAATTGTTAATAATAGTTCCTATAATAATCTATGTTGAAAATAGTTTTTGCTGTTTAATATTTGGGCCGAAAACGCACATCTTTTTCCAAAATTTAGAAAGTGCAAGAGTATATTTGTAAGATTATAAATGTCTTAACTAATACTTTATCAATTTAATGCATACTTGCTGAATGTTTTTTTAATCTTACCCAAAACTTTTAAATAGTAGTTTATCACGTTTCCCACAAAAATATTATGCAGCAAAAACTGTTTTCAACACTGATAATAATAATAAATGTTTCTTGAGCACAAAAGCAGCCTATTCAAATGATTTCTGAAGGATAATGCGACACTGAAGAGTAATGATGCTGCAAATTCAGCTTTGCATCACATGAATAAATTACAAATATATTAACATAGAAAACAGTTATTTTAAATTGTAATAGTATTTCACAATATTAGTGTTTTTGTTGTAATTTTGATTAAATAAATACAGCCTTGGTAAGCAGAAGAGACTTTCACAAACATTTAAACAAACTTTATTCCAAACTTTTGACCGCTAGTGTGAAGATTTACAAGTAAACTAAAAACAAATGTGCCAGCCAGCAATATCACACTTAAGCAGCCCGACGTTCTCTGATGCCTTCCGGCAATTTTTTTTCTTTTTTCATCCTGAGCATTTCACACAGCTTCAGCTCCACGCTGTACAAGTCAAACGGTACCGGTCCCTTTAAGAGGCGGAACCATATGCCCATATTTGTATAACTGGGGGATTTAAATGCCCGACCCCTGCTGTCAATCAAAAAGACCAAACAATCACAGAAACCTTAGGGGCTACGCTCCTTTACAAGCGTGTCTTTCCCTTTTACATTTAATACTGCCATTAAACCTAGCAAACCCCAAAATTGGAAGCTACTTTCCAAGCAATCTGTAATGCACATTTAAGGCACTTAACGAGAGAAATAGGCAAGGGTCTGATCTCGTAAACTCAACCACACGTCTTTGTTTAGTTATCCCCCCCCCCCATTCCCCGTGTAACTTTTCATCGAAACCCCCCACGTTTCTTCACGCTTCACAGACTGACTGCTGAAGAAACCCCAACAAAGAAACAACCTGGATGTCAAATACATTTAATTTACGAGCTAAGAGCTATAAAAGTCCCAATATAGGCTGCATAAAACATAAAGCAATCCCAAGTCACCAAAAATATCTAGATGTTGTTCGATCAACATTATGGTGAAAGTGAATTTCAAACAATAAAACTATTAAAATGCTTGTTTTATTTTCTGTTCCCCACTTTATGATAGAAACTAAGTTTGGTAGCCTACTGTTTATAATATTTTTTTTCCCACAATAACAATTCTTAAGAGGAAAATATCATGCACAAGTTCACTCGCAAGTTTCAGCACCACTCGATCATGCTTTAGCTCATATATTCCTTTTCTAACCGTTTTCTTTTTTTAATTATTACTGCATGTTATTTTACTGCTTTGTTACATCTCATCTTACATTACATTCTAATAGTTTGCTTTTTGACATGTACAGCAGCACCCAACTGCAGTTAAATGTACAATATTAATAACCTTCCCTTGGCGTATGGTCTGACACCACACAATCTCACGTGCACTTCAACACCCATGTCAATGCTGTCATTTATTTCCTTATGTGACAATAAAACTACATGAGTTGTTCATGTCAGCTGATGCTCTGAAATCCTAGCCACAAAGCTACCGAGAAAATACGTGAACCCATTTTCGCTGCTCTGATCGCTGAAGCCATGGAAAAACAGTCTCAAATGCTAATGTAAAACAACAACGAAGCTCGGAAAGAATTACGCGCAACACGAGTGTTTACATCATGAAAATGGCACCGGGTGCGATTAACGCCTGGAAATATTGACAAAGCAGAGCGTGAAATCGTCTCAGTACGAGCGAGCGAGCTCAACGCGCGGCTTACTGACATCCGAAGTGCCATAGGATTTCATACGCGGGTGTTTTTGTTGCCTTTCTGACACAACATATGACGAAGAAACGGTTTCATTCCTTACCTGCCGTGAAACCAGTCCTTACAAATATCGCATTCTATCATAAACCGGCTCACATCGTATGGCTGCCGGCAGACGCAATACAGCTGGGCCGTCGCCATCTTCGGACTGTCCCCAAACAACGCAGCCAAGCTGAAATCGGGTTGGGCGGAGATTCCTCTAATTATGCGGAAACAACACAGAAAGAACGCGAGGGGAGGGGCGTCGAGCGCATGCCGTGACGTCATGCATAAACACTGAGCGCGAGGCACGGCAAATCACTTCATCATATGCATTACGTAATACGTGATAATAAAAAGCATTGGATGAGGCAAACGACTTTTGGAGTTGTCCTCGTTCATTTTGCTTTTGGTCAAATTTCTCTTCTTTTATTAAGGCTCACATCACGCCCAGCTTTCAACTGTGCTTTAAAATTGTTTTATTTCGTTTTTTCTCCTAATCTTATAATAAGGATTAGCCTATTACTTAACTAATCTGCTACTTCTTTTAGCTAAATTTAGTATTCATAAATGTAAATTTGGGGGAAATAAGCCTTTGTTTTTAAATTTATGATCAGAAGTTCAACAATACCTATAAATACAATGTCATGTTTAAAAAATAAGAAAGATGTAAATGTCTCTATTTGTTTTAACCTTTAAATGTGTCACGGTTAATGTATTTGTCCAAAAAATACATGGACTGTTGTAATTCTTTAAAACCAAATAAAAAAAATTAGGCAAACGAGTTATGGATGAAGTCCAAGATTTCAAAGTCCATTTAGCCGAAACCAATAGTTGTTATTTTTGTTAATATAAACTATAGTTTAACATTAAAAACAGTTAATGTTCATCATTAATATCATGCATAATAATATTTTGCTTTCATTAGATTATTATTGAAGAATACAATATACAATTTAACGTTTCCAAATTTTTGTAGCTATAACAAAGTTGCAAATACTCATTTTTTTTACATATGAAATATGAACGTATGAAAGTGAAAGCTTTTTTAATTTGAAATCTTACTTTGAGTAGCCTACATCGGATTACTATTTTTAAACTTAAAATTTAATTTTGATCTATCAGGTGAATTATCGTTTAATTTCAGGAGGTTTAATGATATTAGGAATAAGATAACATATTTAGAGACGAGAAGGCTAAAAGACTATATATTTCTGCAAAATTTAACTCATATGCCTTAAATGCTACCGTTCATGATGGGAAGCAGACAAACAAAAAAATTTAAATTGTACACTTTAAAAGTTGCAGCCTTAAAATTTTAAGTACAATCAACTTGGATGTTTAAGTCATTTCAACTTAAATTACATTAAACTGACAAAAAATAGTTGAATCTTGTATAACAAAATAAGTTGAAAATAACTTAATTTGATGAGTTAAAGCAATGTAAAAACATGTTGTAATAACTCTTTTGTAAGAACATTTTTTTTACAGTGTACATGACAAATGAATAAAGATAGCGAATAATACAAAAGCAACCAAACTAGAATGTGGTGTCTAAGAAAAGAACAATGAGTGGTAATATGTGCACTGTAAAAATATATTTTCATGATTTGTGATCACAACTTTTTATCTTTTGTCAAATCAACTTATAACTAATGTGGTGCAGATAACATAATAGTTTGAGTTTCTATTCATAAAAACAATCTTGTTTATTGCATTAACTCAAATTTTTAATTTCAATGAACTCAACATTTTAAGGCAACCATTTGCATAAATAGCCAATATGTTAAGACAGTGTCTTAAGTTCTATGACCCATAGCAGTTAGTTAGAGGCAGTCAGTCTTAGTTTTCGGTTTCAAATTAGGCTAATCTGTTTTTAAGTTACTGGTTTAAAAAAGCTATGTCTTAAAGAAAAAATGTTGATGTCTAACTTGTAAGACTATAGTCTTAGAGGTTTATGCAACTGGCCCCAGGTAAATTACTTTTTAAGTTAAACCAACATCCAACAATATATATATATATATATATATATATATATATATATATATATATATATATATATATATATATATATATATATATATATATATATATATATATATATATATTTGCAGTGTAGACTTGATTCAGTGTATAAATTATACAATTTGGTAAAACTCAAATTAATAAGTTAAACTATTTTGTTTTAAATGTTATTTATATTTGGAACTTATAGACCTATATATGAAGTCAATTTGTTGTCATGTGACTTTAAAAATAAGTAACATATTTCAACCTTTTTTTGAAAAGGCACATTTTGTTAATATCAATTTGTTTTTGTTTTTTACATTTTGTTACTCTTCATATTAATGAATCCTATTAAAAAAAATCTGCACAGGTCACATTTTTAGGACCAGTTATTTTTTGTTATTGTGAATTTAATTTTTATGACAATTATGCTTGCCCATATTTTAACATTTAAATGAGCATAAAAAGCCTGTTTTTTACTATTTAAATAATATATAATTATTGTATATATATTATAGTTATATGATATTATGCTAATAGTATGGGGATGCCTACTGGTCATAAACATAATGTCACTATTTAAAAAGAAAGGATGGTAAATTTCCCCGTTTGCTAGACCTAAAACAACGAGGAGAAGGTTGACAATGGCGCCACCTTATGCAAAATCTGATCATTACAGTTGAGGTAAAAGCCCAACTCTCTAACTTACTAAATAAATAACGTAGGCTATATATACACTGCAAGCGACTCGACAGTCTAGAACCGTTCCATTATAATTAACGAATCTGCGACGTACGCGGTGAAATGAGGCGGCGTTGATTACAGGTTTGTCGCGTCGCGTCAGATGGGCTTTAAGCTTCGGGGCGTCGCCTTGACTCGACCCGGACCAATCGGGATTCTGTTCAATACTTTGTAAACAACACAGTCGCACGTTGTATGAAAACTTTACTACGAGAGGATGTCGCATGCCGAAGACTGCCAGAAAATCCAGTTAATTCGGTAAGGGGCATGTTTAAGATTTCTACAGGTTGTGTGTGAGTTTAACTGTTTTATTGCGTCGATGATACGAGCACTTTTTTTTTTCATCTCTGAAAGAACGAGCGCAAGTAAGATGTTGGCAGACATCCGGGACGTCTGTCGGTGAAAAATAGTGATTTTTGGTATATTTCTTTAGCAAAATCTGTTTGTTGTGACACAAAGAGTAGCTTTATGGGTAACTACAGGAATATTGTTAGTAAGGTGGTAATTTTCGTCTCGCGTTTCTTTCGTAAAAGAATGAAGCGTAATGAGATCCTTATCGTAAGTGATAAACTCTTGCGCAATTGAGCCCTAGGGAGCATCGGTGGGCGGCTTACTTATTTTCAGTGTTTTTTTTTTTTATATCGTGAAGTTCAGGGGTCAAGGTGTTTTGTCCACATTTTCATGACTCGTATAGGTGTATGTATGTATGCAATCGTTTGGGAGAGGGTGACTAAAAAATGTGAAATATATGTTGTATGCAAATGGACGCACTTTGTATTTTTTTTTATATGGGTCGGTGACGTGACGCTTGTTTTGTACGGAAGTTCTTCAAAATGCGTTAACATGTAATTCATACAAGAATGTTTTTGAATACACTGTTTTATTAACACATTTTAATTCATATGTGTGAATTAAAAGTAATTTTGAAGTTTTTTTTAAAGGTTGGACGTCAAAAATGTCCAGGTGGTGTAACTGTCCACAGATTCTAAATAAGAAAAAAAAAACCTCATTAATAGGTTGAAATTCTTAAAATTACATAAATTCTTCTATTAATAAGTAAGCAGTGGAGCAATTTTGTTTTAAATATTTATATTTGGAAAACTTTGTAAATTCAAGTCAGTGTGGCATAACCCACTTTGTTGTCATGTGACTTTTTTAATATAACACATATTAACCTTTTTATTAAAATGTACATTTTGTTAATATCAAGGTAATTTATTACATTAATTAATTATTATTTTTTTAAAAGCAGTGAAGCAATTTTGTTTTAAATATTTATATCTGCAAAACTTTGTAAAGTCAGTGTGGCATAATGCATATAATACAAGAACCAATTTTTTTTTTCATGATTAAAAAGTATATTTTTGAAACATTTTGACTTTTTATAAAAATTTAATTTTTATGATATTTTTCTAAGGTCAAGAAATTTGGTTACTCTTGATATTAATTATTAATCTTTTCTAAAAACAGTTAAAATGGGTTTAAAAAAAGTTGTTTAACTTTTTTGAAAAATTATTTTTGACATTAATATTGAAGTTGTTTACGTCTATGAAAAGTAAAAATAAAAAAAGATATATATATATATATATATACATACATTTCAGTACTTTTTATGTTATGGTCACACCACACACTTGTCATTAAATTAAGCCATTAAAAATATATAAATTTTTAGGAAATATTATGAACATTTTTCAAAAACCTAAGTGATCAAATCTAGAGTTTGATGGTGTAATGTTCAGCTCAGCGAGTCATTGCTGCCGTTCTAACACAATGGATGTTTCAAGTGCACCATTAGGTTTCAAAATCCTTGTTGATGGAAGGTATATGGCATTCAATAACACAGTGTTTTTACAGTGTTTGTTTGCTTTTAGTGATGTATGCAGTGCTTCCTTTGAGAAATCTGCCCAGCAGATGCTTTTCAGAATGCAAAACCCTAAAAACAAAACAGAAAATGCCTCAGCAGTTTCAGTTTTTGGGTAATGGCAGAAGGCGAGGGGCAGGGCAAGGCAAGGCAGGTGCTCGTATAAGACATTTAACATGAACACAGGATGTGGGTACAGCCTTCATCTCAGAGCCTCGGCGCTGCACGCGCAGCGTTCATCCAGAGTCCTCTCTCCTGAGGAAGAGGAGGAGGAGGAGGAGGAGGAGGAGGGGGAGGGGGAGGAGAAGGGGTGTGGAGGATTGGAGCTTCCTGCCGGGGGGGGGGCTCGATCGGCAACGCAGTGTCTTCTCTGACTCCTGAGACAGAGGCACTCAGATCTGTGTCATTCAGAGAGCAGGTTGAACATTCAGTGGTCCTCACAGCAGTGTATTTGTCAGGACAGATTGATTGATTAATTGATTGATTGGAAATCTTGCATATCTCAATAATCCTTTGCATTAAGAGTGTTTAAAGCACCCTTCTTAGTTTAAAATCAAAATGGCGGATCTCTCCGTGTGGCTGTTATGGTTGATTTATCTC